GAGAAAAGCGCCTGGTGATACTGATTGTCCTCCAGTCAGGAAATAGGCGGGCTCTATCTGACTTGCTGCAGCTTCTATTGCACATTATAAGAAGCTCACAGTGTGCAGTGATATCAGAAGAAGCCATTCCAGTCCAGGAGAGGAGCCGCTACAACCGTACAAGACTGAAGGGAAGGGTGCAGGTCCGGTTTTGGGCCCATTGGTGGTGAAGCGTAAAAAGAAATGGGCTGCCACCGCGTCCTGACATGCTTATAATTGCACATGACCCTTGTTTTCTAACACAACACATGACAACCAAGCCACACATACAGTTCATTTGTCATTCAAAGTAAATGGAGCAGCAATGCATGCTACATGCGTCACCGCAATATGGAGCTGTGACTCCGGCCTGGTTCACACCTAGGAGTATTTGAGCAATTCGAAAAGCGCTTTTATCTGCCCAGCACATGAAATCCCGTGATTTTCAATGGCCCGGGTTCACACCTGAGCTGAAAAACGCAAATCGCCCAAAAAGATACAGGAGCTTCTTTGGGCAGATAAAAGCGCTTTTCCTCCCCATAGACTTCATTGGAAATGTCCCAAAACGCGCAACAGAAGCATATTGTACATTTCCGTGAGCGTTTTTGCGAGTTTATACGTGCGTTCTCCCATTGCCCACGATGGTTTATGAGCTGCCAATCAAAACGCGCATATAAATGTGCACAACGTGCATAAACGCACAGATAACCGCATGCTGCTAATGCGCGTACAAAACGCAAAAACGGTGCCGCCTGTGTGTGAACCCAGCCTAATGCAGCACATTCATTTTTCACAGCAACACCCCAAAAAATGTTCACCCATTTTGTGATGTCGGGGACACAGCCGGGGTGCACAGTGTGATGTCAGGGGGACACAGCTGGGGTGCACAATGTGATATTGGGGACACAACCGGGGTGCACAGTGTGATTTCAGGGCTACACAGTTGGGGTGCACAGTGTGATATCAGGGGGACACAGCTGGGGTGCACAGTGTGATGTCAGGGGTACACAGTTGGGGTGCACAATGTGATATCAGTGGGACACAGCTGGAGTGCAGTGTGATGTCAGGGGTACACAGTTGGGGTGCACAATGTGATATCAGTGGGACACAGCTGGAGTGCAGTGTGATGTCAGGGGTACACAGTTGGGGTGCAGTGTGATATCAGGGGGACACAGCTGGAGTGCAGTGTGATATCAGGGGGACACAGCTGGAGTGCAGTGTGATGTCAGGGGGACACAGCTGGGGTGCACAGTTTGATGTTGGTGGTACACAGTTGGGGTGCACAGTGTGATGTCAAGGGGACACAGCTGGGGTGTACAGTGTGATGTCAGGGGTACACAGCTGGGGTGTACAGTGTGATGTCAGGGGTACACAATGTGATGTCAGGGGAACACAGCTGGGGTGCAGTGTGATGTCAGGGGTACACAGTTGGGGTACACAATGTGATGTCAGGGGGACACAGCTGGGGTGCACAGTGTGATGTCAGGGGTACACAGTTGGGGTGCACAATGTGATGTCAGGTGGGCACAGTGTGATATCAGTTGGGGACACAGTTGGGGTGCTCAGTGTGATGTCAGGGAGTGCATGTTATAATATTGGGGATGCAGTCACAGGTCATGGTGCACAGTATAAAATTGGGGGTGCACAGTGTGATGTCAGGAACACAGCTGGGGGTGCACATTGTAATATTGGGGGGGTGCACAGTATGATGTTGGGGAGTGCACAATATATTGGGGTGCACAGTATGTCGGGGTGAGTGCACGGTATAATATTAGGGGTGCACAGTGTGATATTGGGGACACGGCCAGCGAGTCCCAGCGTCCCTCGTTTCGGGAGGTGCCGCCTCTCTCCACTAGAAGCGGCTCGCCGGCTCCCCCTCGCCAGGCCGCATTTTCCCCGGGCTCCGCTAGGTGTCGCACTCCTGCAGCCGGAAGTGCTGTCAGCGTGGAGGGGGCTTCCGGCCAGTGTGCAGCGGCCTGACTCCCCAAGGAGGATCTGGCGGATAGCGGCTGCCAGAGAGGTGAGATTCCCGGGGGAACATGCACTTCCTGTCCTCACCGCTCCCCACAACACCGACCGTACTGTGCCATGCTGTGCAGTGATGATGTGCACCTTTAGTATGGCTGCCCCATGCAGTGGCGGTGTACACCTGCAGTGTTGCTCCCCTATGCAGTGGCGGTGTACACCTCCAGTGTGGCTGTCTTGCGCAGTAGCAGTGTTTACCTCGAGTTTGACTGCCCCGGTGGTGGTGTGCACCTCCAGTGTTGCTTCCCAATACAGTGGCAGTGTACACCTACAATGTGGCAGCACTAAGTAGTGGCGGTGTGCACCTCCAGTGTGGCTGTCCTATACAGTGGCGGTGTGCACCTCCAGTGTGGCCGTCCTATACAGTGGCGATGTGCACCTCCAGTGTGGCCGTCCTATACAGTGGCGATGTGCACCTCCAGTGTGGCCGTCCTATACAGTGGCGATGTGCACCTCCAGTGTGGCCGTCCTATACAGTGGCGATGTGCACCTCCAGTGTGGCCGTCCTATACAGTGGCGATGTGCACCTCCAGTGTGGCCGTCCTATACAGTGGCGATGTGCACCTCCAGTGTGGCCGTCCTATACAGTGGCGATGTGCACCTCCAGTGTGGCCGTCCTATACAGTGGCGATGTGCACCTCCAGTGTGGCCGTCCTATACAGTGGCGATGTGCACCTCCAGTGTGGCCGTCCTATACAGTGGCGATGTGCACCTCCAGTGTGGCCGTCCTATACAGTGGCGATGTGCACCTCCAGTGTGGCCGTCCTATACAGTGGCGATGTGCACCTCCAGTGTGGCCGTCCTATACAGTGGCGATGTGCACCTCCAGTGTGGCCGTCCTATACAGTGGCGATGTGCACCTCCAGTGTGGCCGTCCTATACAGTGGCGATGTGCACCTCCAGTGTGGCCGTCCTATACAGTGGCGATGTGCACCTCCAGTGTGGCCGTCCTATACAGTGGCGATGTGCACCTCCAGTGTGGCCGTCCTATACAGTGGCGATGTGCACCTCCAGTGTGGCCGTCCTATACAGTGGCGATGTGCACCTCCAGTGTGGCCGTCCTATACAGTGGCGATGTGCACCTCCAGTGTGGCCGTCCTATACAGTGGCGATGTGCACCTCCAGTGTGGCCGTCCTATACAGTGGCGATGTGCACCTCCAGTGTGGCCGTCCTATACAGTGGCGATGTGCACCTCCAGTGTGGCCGTCCTATACAGTGGCGATGTGCACCTCCAGTGTGGCCGTCCTATACAGTGGCGATGTGCACCTCCAGTGTGGCCGTCCTATACAGTGGCGATGTGCACCTCCAGTGTGGCCGTCCTATACAGTGGCGATGTGCACCTCCAGTGTGGCCGTCCTATACAGTGGCGATGTGCACCTCCAGTGTGGCCGTCCTATACAGTGGCGATGTGCACCTCCAGTGTGGCCGTCCTATACAGTGGCGATGTGCACCTCCAGTGTGGCCGTCCTATACAGTGGCGATGTGCACCTCCAGTGTGGCCGTCCTATACAGTGGCGATGTGCACCTCCAGTGTGGCCGTCCTATACAGTGGCGATGTGCACCTCCAGTGTGGCCGTCCTATACAGTGGCGATGTGCACCTCCAGTGTGGCCGTCCTATACAGTGGCGATGTGCACCTCCAGTGTGGCCGTCCTATACAGTGGCGATGTGCACCTCCAGTGTGGCCGTCCTATACAGTGGCGATGTGCACCTCCAGTGTGGCCGTCCTATACAGTGGCGATGTGCACCTCCAGTGTGGCCGTCCTATACAGTGGCGATGTGCACCTCCAGTGTGGCCGTCCTATACAGTGGCGATGTGCACCTCCAGTGTGGCCGTCCTATACAGTGGCGATGTGCACCTCCAGTGTGGCCGTCCTATACAGTGGCGATGTGCACCTCCAGTGTGGCCGTCCTATACAGTGGCGATGTGCACCTCCAGTGTGGCCGTCCTATACAGTGGCGATGTGCACCTCCAGTGTGGCCGTCCTATACAGTGGCGATGTGCACCTCCAGTGTGGCCGTCCTATACAGTGGCGATGTGCACCTCCAGTGTGGCCGTCCTATACAGTGGCGATGTGAACCTCCCTCTCCCTGTGTATTGCACACTGTAGTGCTCCCTCTCTGTATTGCACACTGTAGTGCTCTCTCCAGTGTCTTATACAGTGGCGGTGTGCACCTCCAGTGTGGCCGTCCTATACAGTGGCGATGTGCACCTCCAGTGTGGCTGTCCTATACAGTGGCGGTGTGCACCTCCAGTGTTGCTTCCCAATACAGTGGCAGTGTACACCTACAATGTGGCAGCACTAAGTAGTGGCGGTGTGCACCTCCAGTGTGACTGTCCTATACAGTGGCGGTGTGCACCTCCAGTGTGGCTGCCCTATACAGTGGCGGTGTGCACCTCCAGTGTGGCCGCCCTATACAGTGGCGGTGTGCACCTCCAGTGTGGCCGCCCTATACAGTGGCGGTGTGCACCTCCCTCTCCCTGTGTATTGCACACTGCAAATCTCTCCCTGTGTATTGCACACTGTAGTGCTCTCTCCCTGTGTATTGCACACTGTAGTGCTCTCTCTCTGTATTGCACACTGTATTGCGCTCTCTGTATTGCACACTCGCTCTCTATATTGCACACTGTATTGCGCTCTCTCTCTGTATTGCACACTCGCTCTCTGTATTGCACACTGTATTGCACACTCTCTCTCTGTATTGCACACTCTCTCTCTGTATTGCACACTCTCTCTCTGTATTGCACACTCTCTCTCTGTATTGCACACTGCTTCGCTCTCTGTGTGTTCTGCGGCTCTGTCGGCATTGTTGATATTCTCCCGCCCGCTCACGTGTTGGAGGCTCGAGCAGGTGAAGCCCCGCCCCGCGAGGGGGAGTGGTTCGCCTAGAGAGGAAGGCAGCAGGTCTGGCGTGTGTGGTTCTCCGTCCGAAGGGCGGGTCGGAGAGACACGCCCCCTACTCGTTGATGGGCTTGTTGTTGCTAGGTGCGCGCGCCGCCGCCGCCAGCTCTCGCGAGGGCGCGTACATCTCGCGGGAATGTGCAGGGAGACATGTCCGGGGAGTGAGGCGAGGTGAGAGCGGGACCGGGATGATGAGCAGGAGGAGGGAGGGGCGCGGTGGTTGCGCACTGTGGGCGGGGGGAGTGTGTGCGCTGCCTGACGGGTCATGCGAGGGACGCGACCTGACGGGTGTGTGGAAGCAGGAGCTGGGGGCGTGGTTTCTGCAGGCTGTGGGAGGGACTTGTTGGCCTCCACATGAGGGTGTGTGTGGTGTTGCTGAAAAGTTGGGTCTTGAGCCTGGAGACGGAGGAGACTGTCGTTACCAGTAAGGGAGGAGTTCTGTGTTTGGGCTTCATGGTGGGAACGGTATATACCCATTGGGGGAGTGTCTACGGTTAGGGGAGGGCCTATGGGTGGTATGTGTTTGGGTATACTGGGTATGGGGATGTGTTTGGGTATACTGGGGATGTGTTGGGTATACTGGGTATGGGGATGTGTTGGGTATACTGGGTATGGGGGATGTGTTGGGTATACTGGGTATGGGGATGTGTTTGGGTATACTGGGTATGGGGATGTGTTTGGGTATACTGGGGATGTGTTTGGGTATACTGGGTATGGGGATGTGTTGTGTATACTGGGTATGGGGATGTGTTGGGTATGGGGATGTGTTGGGTATACTGGGTATGGGGATGTGTTGGGTATGGGGATGTGTTGGGTATGGGGATGTGTTGGGTATACTGAATATGGGGATGTGTTTGGGTGTACAAGGTGTTGGGTATACTGAGTATGGGGATATGTGTGAGGTGTTGGGGATACTTGAAATAGATCAATGTGTTGGTGCAGGAGGTGTTGAGGAATACTAAGGTTTTTAGGGATTGTGTTGGTGTGTGTGGTGTTGGGTGCACTGGGTATGTGGTGATGTATGGGTGTACGAGGTGTTGGCTGTACTGAATCTGGGGTGAGGTGTTGGGGATACAGGGAATGAATGAGGTAGTATGTGGGTGTGCAAGGTGTTGTATATTGGGTGATGTGCGGGGTGTTGGGGATATTGGGAATGGGGTGCTGAATGGGTGTGCAAGGTGTTGTATATTGGGTGATGTGCGGGGTGTTGGGGATATTGGGAATGTGGTGCTGTATGGGTGTGCGAGGTGTTGTATATGGGGTGATGTGCAGGGTGTTGGGGATATTGGGAATGGGGTGCTGAATGGGTGTGCAAGGTGTTGTATATTGGGTGATGTGCGGGGTGTTGGGGATATTGGGAATGGGGTGATGTATGGGTGTGCGAGGTGTTGTATATGGGGTGATGTGCGGGGTGTTGGGGATATTGGGAATGGGGTGCTGTATGGGTGTGCGAGGTGTTGTATATGGGGTGATGTGCGGGGTGTTGGGGATATTGGGAATGGGGTGCTGTATGGGTGTGCGAGGTGTTGTATATGGGGTGATGTGCGAGGTGTTGGGGATATTGGGAATGGGGTGATGAATGGGTGTGCGAGGTGTTGTATATGGGGTGATGTGCGGGGTGTTGGGGGTATTGGGAACGGGGTGATGTATGGGTGTGCGAGGTGTTGTATATGGGGTGATGTGCGGGATGTTGGGGGTATTGGGAACATGGTGATGTATGGGTGTGCGAGGTGTTGTATATGGGGTGATGTGCGGGGTGTTGGCGGTGATGTATGGGTGTGCGATGTGTTGTATATGGGGTGATGTGCGGGTGTTGGGGGTGATGTATGGGTGTGCGAGGTGTTGGCATATTGTTGTTGTTCTCACTGCCACTAAATCTCTGCTGGCACACACTGTGTATTTGGGTTTACTTCTATCGGGTGGGTTGGGTTGGACGTGTGGTACGCAGGGTATGAAAGCGATCTCCTTTGTTTGTAATGAGACATTTTCTGTAAATACACCGGCATGTCCAGGACGCGGCCCGCTGTAAACTCAGAACTTTGTGTACTGATTATCACCCCTAGAACACTGCCACAACTTTCAGCTGTTGCTGGAGGACCAGTCGGTTCTGTGGATGTTTGAGGTATGGCGGGTCATGTTCTATGCTTTGGGTTGCCAAAACATGGACTCTGAAAGCGTTTTTTCTTTCAAACTACATCTAAAGACAAAACATTTCTGTAAGAATAGGACATGGTTAGGCGTCAAGAAGCCGCGAGGCAGGTCATGAGGTGCCGCCCGACTTCCTGATTGATTCGGAAGCTAGGTTGGCTACCAACAAGTGCAGCTGGCTTCCTAGCCAATCGGGAAGGTGGACGGCACGTCATGACCCGCCTCCCGGCTTCCTGATTGACTAGGAAGCCGGCTTCACTTCTTCGTAGGCAGCCTTGCTTCCTGACAAATCAGGGAGGAGGATCATTACATGCCGCCTGGCTTCCTGATTGGTTAGGAAGCCAGGCTGCCTAGCAACTAGTGAAGCCGGCTTCCTAGCCAGTCATAACCCACCTCCTGGCTTCCTGATTGGAAAGGAAGCCAGCTCCATGCTCCCTCAGCACTGACATCTCCCTCTGACCGGAATTTCCGATATCGGAGGTAGGTATTGGAGCATTTGGATGAGTACTTGCCCAAATACTTGGTATCGGCACCAATACTAGTATCGGTGCATCCCTAGTCACCTGGACAAATATTGATGGTAAGCCTTCCCAGCAGGAGCACAGGCAGCAGTAATCCTGAGAGGAAAGTCAACACTTCTGCAATATGCAAAAAGGTTTTGGTATTGATACCTTTTAGGGCCTTGATCATACCGGCGACAAAAGGAAATACTCGCCACATGTTCCCGGGCACGGCTGAGCACTTCAGCACTGAAAGGCTGTATTGCCAGATGGCTCGGCACAAACAATCTCCTAGTGCAATGCTCTCATAAAATTACCCAAAACATTGTAACCTCTGACCTGTCAAATACTGCGACCTCCTCTTCGTCCATTGCTTCTCTAGCTGGTTTCAAATGCCAGGATTATGTTAAATAGCTAAAAGGGGCATCACTCCAAATCATTTGGGCAATGGATGAAGACATCATTAGGCACCAGTCCTTAGGGCCTCGGATGAGGAATCTGTAAATTCCAGCCATGGATACCAATATGGAACAGCACATACATGAAAAGCACACCAATTAACTTAGCCATTCCCAGTCCTTTGTGGGTCCTTTCTCTTGGGAGGTCTTCTATAGCTTAGAAAATGATAGATGTTGAAATAGCTAAATACAGGCAGGAATGTGACATTAATGTGCTGCATAGTTGCTCGGATAACTGGACACACAAGGAGCTTTGCTTGTAGAGTACCGTATGTCTGCAAAAATGCAGTTTTCCCATCTGTTCCTTTCATCAAGTTTTTAACTCGCCTCTTCTGCAGATGTGATGCCCAGTCCTGTCTGCTTTGGGGCAAAGCAAAATGTGCCCACAGCGGCAGGCCTGGCATCTTATACATGCATCAGGCCAACCATGGGCCGGTTAATCTGTTCAAGATGGTGGGGTTTTTTTTAATGCCCATGCTTGGTGCACATGTGACTTTTTATAAGACCAAAAGGTCACTGGTGTATGTTAATGGGGCAGGCCGGGCAGTAAATAGATGGTCCAGACTGTACTCTAGGCATATCTAGTAAAATTGCTGAGAGTGGCAGGAATGAATTGTGGAGCTTTTCTGAAATTGATGCTATCCTACAGATTTGGGATGTACCAATACTAGTATCGGTGCCGATGCCGAGTATTTGGTTGAGTACTTGTACTCGTCCAAATGCTCTGATGCCTAGCCCGATACATCCAGTTTCAGGAAGCCGGGCAGCGCGTCATTACACGCTGCACGGCTTCCTGATTGGCCAGGAAGGCGGCTCCATGCTCTCTCCTCACTTGTGTAATGACTCGCCACCTGGCTTCCTGATTATACGGGAAGCCGTCCCCATGCTCCCTTGTCACCTCATGATGAGGGAGCATGGAGCCAGCTTCCCGGCCAATCAGGAAGCCAGGCGCCGCTTCATTACACGGCACCCGGCTTCCTTATTGGCCAGAAAGCCAGCTCCATGCTTTCTCGTCAGCTGGTGACTAGAAGCATGGCGACTTCTTCCCGGCTAATCAGGAAGCCTGGTGGCGAGTCATTACACACCGCCTGGCTTCCTGAGTGGGACTTCCGGTATTCGGTATCGCGAGTACCGGAAAAAAAATATCGGTACTCGATACCGAAATACCGGTATTGGTGCATCCCTACTACAGTTGCTACCTCCTCCCGCCCATATTTGAGGTGAGATCTAAAATACAAGAAATTGAGCTGACAATGTTGCACATTATAGAGTGAAGCTTCAGGTCTCTGCTGCCTTCATATATGGAGGGGGCTGCACTCCACTCCGTTTGTATTTTGGGAGGCCAGTGCTTCCCCTGGGCTATAAACGCAGGTTTGCCTGTAGAAATTGACTTGCTAAATATTACAGCACAAATTACTGTATGTCTCGCATTGGCTGATAACGTCTCCGTTGTTTTTTCAGGGTTCCCAATGAGAGGATCATGTCGATCTCACGATTTGGGTGATCCATAGTATGGCTGCTTCCCGTTCGACGCGCGTCACAAGATCTACCGTAGGATTAAACGGATTAGATGAGAACTTCTGTGGCCGCACCCTGAGAAACCGCAGCATCGCTCACCCGGACGAGGTCATTCCCCCGGCGCTCTTGAGATCTAGGTTCCCTAAGAAAAGGCCGGAGCCTGCCCAGATCCAAAAGGGAAGCCTCGGCAAGGGCGGCGAAGTCAAACAGCCAGGCCCCCGGGAGCCTTGGGTAAGCCCAAGGAAGAGAGGTCTGTCCATTTCGGAAAAAGACGGTTGCGACAAAGACATTGTGGAAAACAGCGACAAGAAATCGTCGGGAGCTTTGTCGCCTGTGTTGAAGAAAATTAAGCGTTACCTTCGTTCTGAGGAACCCAGCAGTCCGGAGGAAGAAGTGCCCGGGTCATTTCACAAGGAGCCCTCGGGAAGGAGGAACTCTGAGTCTGACCATGAAACAGACACAGCCCGTTCTAAACAAGCTAATCGATATATTTTACTGGATGATAGTAACCAAAGGGAGATCAAAACGGACCCGGATTCCGAGGAGATTGTAAAGAAATCCTTACCTGATGGGGACGTGTTTAACCATCAGATTGTTAACGGTATTGACAACAACGAGACTGCTGCTGTAAACTGTAATAACTGTCCTTCAGACGGGAGTGTCAAACAGAATAATGCTAGTACGGTCACCTCCCCGAAGGAGCTGAACTTATCGGAGAACGGGAGTTCGCTGACTCCCCGCTGCACACCCGCTAACAGCGAGACGGACAGTCTTTCAGACCATAATGTGCCTTGCACGCACTCCGAGGAACAGGCAGGCAAACAGGACCATGAATTAAACAACTGCCTACCTATCGATCACGTCAATCAGACCAATGAATCGGCAGGCGTTTCCTGCGCCGATGCCCTGCTGATGATACGGGATTCTGAGGAGGAACTCGACGTTGTAGGCGATGGCGTTTCCAAGGAACAAGCTGCTCACTCCTCAAACAGCGTACCCAACCCCAATCAGGACAAGCCTGTATGCGGCGAGGATTTTCCCATGTCCGAGGTGGCGAAGGGCTCCTCGCTCGAGCTGTGCTCCTCCGACACCCAAGAACATAGATATACCTTAAGAACTTCCCCGAGGAAGGTCGTATCTGTCAAAGACAGCTCATCCAAAAATGCCTCTCCGTGCGGGGAGAACGGACAGGCCGAGGAGAGTTCCAACGAGGGTAGCAGTAGACTTTCCTCTGCCGTTAACGGATCCGTCGCCACCGCCGACGAGGCGGCTCCGAGCGACAAAAAGCAGACGTGTCCCTCTGCAAAGTGTTCGCAGGATAAGCCGGCTGCCCGCGCCTCCTCCAGCACGGGGTACGCGGCGCTTCCCGCCAAAGAGAGCGGCAGCGTGCAACCTGCAGAGGAGGAAGAGGACGAGCCCGACGTGTACTTCTTTGAGTCCGATCACGTGGCTTTGAAACACAACAAAGAGTATGTGTAACCATGGTAACCTTGATTTCTGCTATTCACTTCTGTGTTCATTGTCTCTTTTGAGCCAAAGGTTCGTTGCATGTTTACAAATGTAGATGTCACTTAACAGCCGAGCTCTGCAACCGATCCAGACACTTGGCAGATTATGTTTTCTAAAGGTCACATCATTTTTGACAAATATACAGGCGCCCAGACAGATTCTAGGTAATAGTTCATCAGAATGTGAACACGCTGCCCTGCTCCCGTCGCAGAAGTTTACGGCTTGCCTTTAATTCCCTTGCGAGTCTGGACACTGTGCAGTGTGACACTTGGTACCTTTCCATACCGACCCATAGTTGTCTAACGTTGCCAAGAGTTCAGATTAAACCTGGGATCACCTTCTGGCTTATGTGATAATGCAGCCGAAGCAGAAGCAAGTAGATTCAGGCAGGAAGTGGCTGAAAGGGGCTGGAGGATATCAGCAGGATGGGGAAAAAGTGTTGTATGAAAGAATAATGACTGTTGTTTATGATGCACAGTGCTTCCTAACAGTGAAAGTCATCCAGTTAGGGTTTCCATCCACTTTATTGGGAATAATCTTATGAGTGTTCATGTTTTTCAAACCTTATTACTGTATAAAGTGTTCACTGTATGTGTGCAGCATAGGGACCGTCATATTTGCTCATTTCATAAGCAGGCTCTGCTTCCAAGTTGTTCCTTGCTGAACTTATCGTGCACCAGTTGTACCAAGGAGGGTTTAGATTTAGGCCAGCCAAGGGGATGACAGTCCTGTTGCAGCCATCTCCTCCTGAGCCTGCTCTTCAGAACAGCAACTGTTACAGCAATGTGGTCAGGAGCGGAAGAGTAGGCTCAGGAGGAGATGGCTGCAGCAGGAACATCATAAAGTGCCCGCCATCCTTTCTCAGCACACAGACAGCTGGAGAAGGGAGGTCAGGGAGCCAGTGGAGGAAGGCTGCAGGGGGATCAGGGAACTGGAGGATGAAGGCTGCAGGGTGTCAGGAAGTTGGAGGAGAGAGGCTTCAGGGGGGGTCAGGGATTTGGAGTAGGGAGGCTGTAGGGCGGTCAGGAAGTTGGAGGAGGGAGGCTGCAGGGGGGTCAGGAAGTTGGAGAGGGAGGCTACAGTGGGGTCATGAAGCCTGGAGAGGGAGGCTGCAGGGGGAACAATGAAACCTGGTGAGTGACATTGTAACGGGATCAGAAAGTTTGGTGAGGGAGGTTGCAGGGGTGTCGAGGAGCCTGGGAAGGGAGGCTGCAAGGGGATCAGGGAGCCAGGGCAGGGAAGCTGCAGCGGCGGAAGGCTTCAGGGATGGCCACAGTCTGCGGGGGGGTAGTTATGAAACATTGCTTTGACTCGCTCCCAGTCACCACAGATCCCTCCTACCAACTTTGCAAGCCACTAAGTGCTAATTGGGAAAAAGAAAAAAACAGATGATTAAGATGCTGTCCTCTACTCAACTTGTGGATATAAATGTGGCCCTTGACAGCACTAGTCTATGAAAAGGAAAACAGACTGTGCCTTATCTAATGATATGAAACCGCCATTGTGCCCCATGTACCCGGAGACCATGTAGGCTGTCTAAGCTATAAATAACATTCAGTTTATTTTTTTTCAGAAAGAGGTATTTTTTTTAGTAATTTATTAATGTTGACCTGTGTATAATGGATTCCTGGATCTCTGGCTATTTCTACTTCTTAGCCCCCCACCTTTCTAGAGCACCCATTTTTATATTTTTAATTTGCCTGCTTCCGACAAAAACGTTTGAAGACTGGATGATGTCATCGCCTGGCTTCCAGCAGTGCGGTCAGTAGGTGTCTGCACGGCACCCAGCTAGGCGTTTAGTGGGGCGTTATTGTGACCAGTCACTGAGTGCACTGATATCCAGCTGGGGGCCGGTCTCCTCAACAGGAAATGCTCCCTCAAGCACAGCGATTCCTGATAAATATCGGGCAGAAAAGACCCCAGGACACCTCACAGAACAAACTAGGGTGCTTGCTTCAGTTTAAAAAAAGAGAAAACATCTGAGAGCAGCTTTACTAAAAAGTCCTCTCTAAATCTACACCCCGTCGGGGGGGCAGTAGAAGGAGCTTTTGTAGTGAATCATATGGGTCAGGAGGAATCCTCTCAGCCTGGAGGAGTTGCAGTAAATTCACCCTGGCTTGGCACAAAGCTTTCCCTGTGAATATATATTGATCGCAGGCAGAGCTCATTGATTTTTCAGCAAAGCTCTGGAAACTTTGAACTTCTTTAAAGATGTACAGATGCCTCAGAGCTGACAGGTGATCCCTTTGTTATCCTTAGAAGAGTTTGCTGTTAATCTAGCTGCAGCCCTCACGACGTCTATAGCTCACGTCTTTTTTGTGCCGCAGTGTCTATTATGGGTGTGATTAGCAGCCGAGAAACGAGCAGAACATCCGCGGAATGGAATTGGTGACTATTGTGCCTACGCCGTCCGCGCTGCCACTTGCAGAATAAGGCTGCGGAAAGCGTATCTGAACCCAAGAACACAAATGTCATATATTGTACAGGTTCGATGTCCTTAGATATGGTCATTGCATTGCTTTTCTTTAGGGATGCACCAAAATGAAAACAAAATTACAAACGGAAAATAACTTATTTTTACAACCTTTTATAAAAATGTTAACTATTTTATTTTTATTATTATTTTTACTTAACTGTTGGGGGCTCAGGGGTAATATCAGCGGTCGAAACAGACCCCTGATATAGCCCTTGTGAAATAGAAAAAGAAATTGAAGACGCCAGGTCCTCCAGAGAGCGCAGAGTCCTCCTGAGAGCCCTCAGACTCTTTTTCTGCAGCCCCTGTTATAAATGAATAGGAAGCCTCTATACGGAGTGCTCCTGTCCATATTCATGAACTGAGGAGTTAATATGTCCACAATCAGGAATAAACAGTAAACAGGAAGTGATGTGGAGCACTTCCTGTTCATTCATAACTGGAGACACAGTAAGCTTACTATGTCCTCAGTTAGGTACAAACACTGAGCAATCGGTAATGATCGCTGAGTGTTTGTACTCCGCTCTCCGTTCTGTCATAGACCCCATCTCTCCTCCCGCTTGGCCTCCTGACAGCTTCTCTCCTGCTTGTTGGCCCTGACAGCTGGATTGGCTCTGTTTCCCCTCTGGACCCCACTGCCTCTGCCGACAAAGAGAGGGGAGAGCAGCGTGGGTCGGAGGGGACACAGACCAGTGCCCAGCAGGGAGGAGAGAAGCTGGGGATGCACCACATTTTTGGCTGTATTGGTACTTCGGCATTTTGCCCATAATACCATTTTCGGCCGAGATGTTTTGGTGCATCCCTAGTTTTCGTTTTTCCGAACATCTTCGGCAGGTACAGAAAATCCCTGTTAATTCTGCTAGAAATCCAGAGTCCGTGTCACTTCCTGTGAGCTTAAAAGAAACCATCAATCCACCATGTAATGGAAATAAAGGCAGACGTGTTTGAAGTCCAGCCTGTGTTCCAGCCATGGCTGCCACCATAAATTGTGTTGTAAAAAAGCGTAGAAATGACGGGACAGGAAGTGCGCTATCTGCAGGATTACCAGGTGAAAATAAAGGGGGAGAAAGCCTGAAAAAAAAAAGAGAACAAATGCAGCCACCAAATCTAGGGACTGATGAGTTGTCATATAATCGTTTATGGGGGTTTAGATACGCTTAAATGTTTTGAGGTTTTCAGCACCAGGGACATGGCCTATATCTAATGAAGTGTGCCCCATGCTCTGCTCTAGAAATTTCCACTCCATTGCCGCTTACAGCGCTGATCTCAAAAGGGAGGTTTTGGGAGTTTTTAATTGCGTTTCAGCACTGAACAAACAAACCTGAATGGAAACCGCACTGATCAGCGCGGCAAAAATAGTGCAGGAAGCCGTTCGGGCGGGGAGCAGTTCCGATCGCGCGGGCCCGCGCAGTG